ATGACCGGGCACGGGCAGTAACATAGTAGGGATGTGCATCTCAATAACTGAGGCCGATGGGATATGCATCTCAAAGCATAGCCAACGATCCGATACATTAAAGATACATGTAAGCAGCTACTGATGTGATGCAATACGATTAGGATGTGGTGTGATCCGGTTTCGATTCAACTCGATGCTATTAAATGTAATACATAAAATGCAATGGAAAAAAAATATGATGGGATGCAAGGAGTGTAAACCTACTGTTTACAATGTTTTTTTTTTTTAAATAATTGTTTAAAGCAACACTATGTAACATTTTTTACCTTAAAATAATGTTTCCAAAATCTTATCAGTTGTTCATCAAGTCATAACAGGGTGAAAGGCACTTCTGCCATAGCCTGAAGGGAGTCTGTATCACTTTTACTGGCACTACGGAACTCCGGGGTTTGGGTAGTAACCCGACCACAAAAAGAACTACAAAAAGCGACTGCTTTACGTCTAGCGCTACAATAGTCATTATTTCGTTTTTCTTCATTTCTGATGTTACCATACATCATCCTTTCATGAAATCATGCAACATAATCTATTGTCTGTGGACATTGTTCATTCTAAGCCGGTGCTGGAGTGTGCGTGCGATGGTAGGCTAAATTATTTACAACAGCGGTAATGGACAATTTCGTTTCTGACCAGTAGGGCGACCGAAGAGGAAAAGTTCCATGTTGTTGCTTTGTTTAAATAAGAGTTTTCCAACATATTAAATTTTTTTATTTTGGGGAAATCTTTGAAGGATAAAAAAAATGTGTTGGTCATCACACATAAAAAAAAAATGATATATGATATTAGAGTTTTGAAGTGCTGGAAAAAGATGTTTAGTCGGCTACTTGTAAGCGTTTGACTATTTCTGTCACATTATCATATCTATGGTTAGAGTGAACTTACTACATTAGCCTAAATCCATGGTGAATGTTGCTGATTTGTGGATTGAAAGCCTGGTTTCCACATCAGCGCTGTTTGATCTGGTTTATAACAGAACTCTGCGCCGAATCGGAGTGTTTCTCACTGGATCTCGCAGCGATGATGTTATTAATTCTGAGGCGAATTCAATGGATTTCTTCACTGGATCTCCTAGTAACAGTGTTGCGTGATCGAGATCAGCCGCCAAATGGCAAATTCGGGGCTTTATTTTACTGTCAATGGTTTGGGGCGCCACTTTATATATATACATAAGAAAGGCTATGCGCTGCTCTGTCTATTACTGTTCCAAACTAACAAACAGTCCGTGAAGCATAAATGAGTAGCGTATTTTCCTTCCACTTTCATTTTGTTTGCATTCGCTGCTCGGTAACGAGTCGATAGATCGCTTATCACTCAGACGCCCATAGCAGGTTGTGATATTTTTCTCCGTCTTCTTCCCACAGACGTTTACGTGCGCTATTCTTCTCACACTCATTCCGGATTCATTGATGCGCCCCTTCCACGCTTAACCATGCATGTGCGACTAGATGTAAAATTCAGTCGCACACTCTCAAATTTTGGCCCTGCAGCTCCTGGTTGCTCCTGGTTGCTCCTCGCCTGGTTGGAGGTTGCTGCGGAGGCCCAGCGGGAGTGGCGGCGGAGAAACTGCCACCGGCATTGGGGTGGAGGCAGCAGCGGGCCGGCAGGGCAGGATGTGCCAGGTGGCCTGCGTATGCTCTTGGGCGGCAGAGAACTGTTGGACACAATTCTCTGCCACGTCACTGACCAGCCCAACCAGAGAAATTGGGGAGGCCAGGAACCGAACCTTGTCCGCATTCGCCATATCAACCAGGCTGAGCCAACGATGGTGCTCCTGGACATCGCCTGACCAATCGGCGCACGCCACGACACTCGTACCTCGGAGGATGAGGTCGGAAGCACTGTGGTGCTCACTCGCTGCCCGTTGGGACGGACGAGAACTCACAGGCCTTAGGGGGAGACGAAGATCCCCCCAAAGGCAGCGGCCGTCAGACAAAAGTTACATGTTTTGCAACCGACCGCTCCACTGGAGGGATAGCCTCATAACACTTCACTGCTCCTCACTCAAGGGAAGTGGGGGGGGGGGAAGCTTTTCAGGGAGTTTCTGGCAGAGAAAGGCTCTCCATGCATTTCGGGAAAGAAAAGAGCTAAGAACCAGCACAGCCCACCCTGAGATACCAATCCTCCAACCGAGACTGAACTGGACACGGTGGAGTGTTACACTCGAGCCTGGCAGCCTGTTTCAGCATAGCTGACATTACTGGATTTGGCTCGGGCAACGTTACACTCCCAGAGGGAAACAGCCGAGTCGTCATTTCCAGAGGCCAGCTCACCCTGCTGCTATCAACATCTTATCCTCTGGGAAAACCCCCATTGAAATTTGGGAACCCCAATTGGCTGCCCGGTCCATTACAGAGGGACCAGCACGTTTAACAGGAATTCCATCGGGTGATGGAGGAATGAGAAGCCCACAGGGAATGGTTACCGGGCGAGACATCCATCACAATTCTGTGATTACCCATCCCACACGGCACCCGGGGGTGGGGCATGGCAATGGGGACTCGCGGTTCAGGGACGAAGGCGAGTCTCGATCTCAACACACAATGGAAGCATGAACCGTCCACAATAGCTTCTTCAGCATGCTGCAAGCCCAAACATGTGATGCAACAATTGTGACCGTCAGAGAGGAAAAGGGAATGATCACATCCAGAAACGCACAGGTGGAATGACATCTTGAAAAAGACGCAAACACACCTGTGTTGCTCTTTCAGGAAATAGGATCCATCAACAGAGCCAGAGCACGAAGGGGAATGACCGCGGCAACACTGAACAGTGAACTAAAACAGTGAAGCACTCACTTTTCCACCCTCTTACCAGCCGTCAACACACACAAACCTTTACCTTTAAACCTATCACTGCTGCACTCATGCTGTAGAAACCAGCAGCACTGGGAGAGTCTTCCAGAAGAACACCAACACACTCGCTCATTGTAAACAACAGCACTCTTCAGAGACATCAAACGATCGGCTCTGAAGCGAATGGCAACTAGTGCTTGCATCCACTTCCGTATTTATACCCACACCGTGAGGGCAGAGTGTGTGATGTCATCACGCACGCCAATTTCCATTGGTTGTTCAATAGTACTCGAAGACGATTGGCTCCCTGGCATGATCCCCATTCAGTCGACGTCAACGACGTCTGACGTTCTCAAATGAAGGGGAACTGATGTTTTGTCACAAAGCACTGGGTTTGATTGAGAGGTCTCTTAAGATTGAGATTTGATTGAGAATGCCTTGATTGAGAGGGGTTCAGCTTACATGAAAACACTTCTGGGTTCAAACACATTATGTGGGTGGTTCATCACTTACTGGCTGTCATGACTCTCAAATGGGACGTATAGTGACTGATGCGCTCAAAGGCTGATTTGTGCTGCCCTGTGTGTGCCATGACTCGCGGAGTCGTCTTTTATCTTTTATGCTCCCTTTAAACAGGGATTTCATGATGAAACTAGCGTTTAATCTTTAATTGGCATTGTTAGGCAGCAAATTAATTGTTTTGTCGCAACAGTCGGTAATGAAAACACTGGCACTGAAGAGACAGATGCATTAAGAACATTGTGAAAGGCCAGACATTAGGACAGACCTAAGACAGATCTAAACACATAAACTGTCATTTTAACTAATCCATTAATTATATTTGACATGCAAGCACATGTGATACATAAAAAGCCAGATAGATAGATAGATAGATAGATAGATAGATAGATAGATAGATAGATAGATAGATAGATAGATAGATAGATAGATAGATAGATAGATAGATAGATAGATAGATAGATAGATAGATAGATAGATAGATAGATAGATAGATAGATAGATAGATAGATAGATAGATAGATAGATAGATAGATAGATTGATTTTGGTTGAACTGCAGTACTGAAGATTAATGTTTGTATAGTGCTTTTCATAAGTGCTTTATACTCTAGTTAGGAGACTAATGTTGTGTGAAAAGAGGTGCTCTCTCAAATGTTCAGATGGGCAATTCCATCCCTGGAAATATCCAGACACTGCGATATGAACACAAAGCGGAAATTGGTCCTTTGATAAGCTGTAAACAAACCGCTCGCACATATATAGTCACCATATGATAATACAAGCAAAAGTACAGCCACAAGTGTGACATCGAATACTAATAAATATTTACACATAAAGGGCATACAGGGACACACAGACACTTCAGCTCACTCAGTGAGTCACAAATGCTGACAAGGAAATGGACAAAAAAAATTTGAAAGTGCCAAAATAATTCATCATTCTCCCCTGGGAACGGCCTCCGTCATGCTCATATTTCTGCTCTTTAGTATATGTCATGTTAAATCAATATTTTGAGAGCTCATGTGCCATGTTTTATTGAAGTTAAAATCATTAGTCGTTTATAGATTATACACAGAAACCTCCAGACGAGACGTTTCAAAATTATACAGCAAAAAACATCATTAATCATTCCATTAACAGAATGCAGGTATTGCTTCCAAACAGGTTTGGCTGTTATTAAATCTAAGTGCAAGTAATTCATGCTGTATGAGACATTCAATAAACACAAACCTCAAGGCTATATTTAGTTTACGGCACAAAAAAAAATGTTGTGAAACTTACAAATATTATGACTTGGCATTGACATTTTACTCTTTCTGACATTAACAAATTATTTTCTTAATAAGGAAATTTGTTTTGTATATTTTTATTTATTTATTTATATGTTTTGAATTAGGTCTTTTTCTTACACCATTTGGTAAATATTTTTTTCTTGTTTCAAGAGCAAGTCTTCCTTAAGTCTTTCTTAAAACAAGATAAAACTGATTAAGTAAATAACTTTTTGCAGTGTGTGTGAAGTGCGTTGATGAATGATAAGAAAATAAAATCAGTTGTTGTACGTCTATATGCTGAGTACAGAATAATCTAGAATAGTGGAGCTGATGTTTTATGCATTTCCTTTTATAAAGTGTTGGTCTTGCTCTTACCAGTGAAAGAGTGATGGTTCCAGCGGTGGGGCGGCTTATCTTTTTGAAGAGCCTGTGCCCTTCTGTACCAGGGACCTATCGGTTTCAGCCAGGTTAGCACAGTGTTATGGTAAAACTGACCTTTAATGTGTTTTCGAGAGCAATGTCAAAGCATACAAATGAGGTAGTACACCACCTGAGGAGCAAACAAAAGAGACACAATAAAAGCACAACACAATAAAACACATAGAAATTTAAAATATCACGTCGAGCTGTGAAAATTGATGCTTTAAGAGAATTGTAATTAAAAACCACTGCATGTATGAAATCACAAAGCTTCTTGAAAGTGCACCTCAAACTCACGCCATTGGTTGACCCAATGTTACGGTGTTGTTTTGTGCACGTTTGTTTGACTCAGGGGGCATTTACAAGACACAACTTTCATATAAAAATATATGCGTATTGGCAGTTCATTTACACGACAGCAGCGTTTGGGGGGACTGAAAATACTAACTTTTTAAAAACGGGATGCAAAGTGAAAGTTTTTGCACTCCGTGTTAACTACAAATTTGTGAATTCATGAAAAGTGTGACGTCATGTGCATGGGTATTACGTGTTCAGTCTGGGTGCATGTAGCCAATGTTGAATAAATTAATTTTCTTTAGGTTAGATAATTAATCACTCTAACACCTTTATATAAACCTTTTACAGACACACAACCACCGAACAGACACGCTTTTCACTCGTGTTTAGTAGTTCTAACCGTCCAATGTACAATGGGTTGTGGGCAATATCAGCCATTAGAGTGTGCAATGTGTAATTGTCCCTTTATCAGCACAGCACTATTCTATTTCATAAATAAATGTGTGAAATGTCAATAATTATAATAATTACAGATCAGTTTAATGCTTCATTTTGAAATAAAGTAGGCTACATAGCAGTACAATAAGCCAGCTGTCTGTTTATAGGAATGACAGTGAAAATATATGGTAGTCTGCCAAACTATTAACCTATTGTTGTACCTAACACAAGTTTTATGTCGGAAAAGTAACAAAGGCGTCTAAAAAAGAGAGAAAAAAAAGAAAGAATATATATATATATGTATATATATATATATATATATATATATACACACATCCTAAGGTAATATATATTGTGAAATAAATCATCTGGAATTATTATTACGATTAAACAATAATTCCCCCTTTGTTGTGGAGGGTTTTTTTTTTTTTTTTTTTTTTTTGTCCCTCCTGAAATCCCATTTGTTTTATTATCAATAAATGTGTAAGTTTTGTCACTGATTAACAGTAACCGTTACAGTGAAATCTTTTAGGTTAAATAAGTTAGCTTAACTTACTTCCAATCACCCATTGACAAATTACCAGCAAAACAAAAACTGTTATCAACACAAATGTTGTTAAAACCCTAAACTTATATAAAACAAGAGCTCCAGAGAAATGTTAACTTAACTCACCTCTTCTGAAAACGGTTGAGATGTTAATAACAGACTTTTTCGACGACAGAAAACCAACTATAAAGTAAATATTCAACAGAGCGTAATTAATTACACGTAAGAAGGGTGTCAGGAACGTTCGTATATATTATTTGTGTGATTTTGTTAACTAAACTTACCTGAAAGCAGTGAAAACAACAGACGTTATTTTTGCTGTTTGTCAGTTTTACGTTTGGTTCCTCGTTTCCATCTGATCGCGCGTGTCTTTGAATGCGACGCGAATGTTTACGCGCGCACGCGCATTAAAACCATACGTCAAATGATTTTAAAACTCTTTGTGTAGTTCTATGACCCATTTACTTATAGTTTTTTTTTTTAGCAACAACAAAATAGTATATATTTATTACAGATCATTTAGCTATTTCTTACTCTTAATAGAATAATCTTAATGTCATAAATAATCTTATTATAATAGTTATATATGAATACATGAGTAAGCAGAAGACGTTTAAAAAATAAAATTATATATATATATATGTCTGTTTATAGCAATGAAAATGCAAATATATATGGTAGTCTGCCAACCTATTAAGTTGTACCTATAATAACACAAGTTTTACAGTATGTCGGATAAGTAGCAAGGTGTCTTTATTGAATAGGCAATCTTCCTTTTCAATACTACAAAGTGGAGACAAATTCCACTTAAGTGTTCTGACATAAAGGACACTTGAGGAACGGCCCGGATATGTGGGTTAATTGCAAAAATCATGCAATTAGCTATAATAGACGTAACCACTGAGTTCAAGTACTGACTCACTGCTGAGAGTAGCTATAGTGGATCTATAACAATGTCTTCTATAGAAGCAAGCAAGGTGCATGTAAAAAAAGCCTTTATAAAGGTCAATCAAATGTCATGTTTTGGGCAGACAGTGAGATGAGATTTCTAAAAAAAACACAGGGCTGTGGACATAAGGGAATAAAGAAATGGAGCAACAGGTATGTTCCCTGATTTATGTATCTGTCCCAAAGCATGCAAGAACAGAATGTTTTTGTCTCAAACTGCAGTGCAGACTATGTTCAAAATAGTCTTCCAAAGGTGTTCGGACACTATTTCAGGTGGATTTTGTAATCTGCATCCAGGTATGCTTTTTTTTTACGTATTACCCACAATCCCCTGAAGTATTGGTAAGGTGATGATGACTGCCACACAAACTATAAGTAATAATTAATTTAATTGAAGAAGTTCAATTATGCTAACATAAAGATTGTGTTACATTTAAAGTTATCCCAAATAGGGGCACTTTTTCTGAGTTCCAGTGAAGTAAGAATTTGTTGCTTCTTGGAGGAAACCACTAAGTTTTGACCAGTTCACCCAAAAATTCAAATTCTGTCATCATTTACTCACCATCAATTTGTTCCAAACCTGTATGAGTTTCTTTCTTCTGTTGGAACACAAAATAAGACATTCTGAAACATTGTTGAAAACCAGACAGTTGATGGACCCTTTGACTTCCATAGTAGGAAAAATAATACGATGGAAGTCAACTGTTACCATCAACTGTCTAGTTACCAACAATTTGTCAAAATGTTGATTGTATTAGGGTGAACGATCACTTTAAGACAGTGTTAATGGCTGTTTATGTAACTGGCCCAGAACACACTTAGCCTAAAGTTTTAGCCTACACAGTAAATTACAAACACCCTATTTTAAACAAATAAAAATGCTTAAATTAGGCACGTCTTACATTAGCGATTGCATAACCTAGAGACAGATGCTTTTGTTTTTTCCTCTTGATACAAAATGGGGGGGTGGGGGGGCTATATAACTCATATTAATCCACATTTGATATGCAAAAAACACTTATTTGAAGGCTATTTACTCAAATAAAATGTATATTTAACTAATGTTAAGATCACAGCGTTTTGGGGAATTTTATAGACTAGCTCGTTGTAGCCTGCATTTGTTTAGATTTGGCGCCCTCTAGACCAGATAACAAGTGGAAGAAGAAGCAGGCATTCTGATGATTCCTCAGTCGAAATTTTTAATGAAAGTCCCTCTCAATTCAGTCAATACATGTCTTGTGAACACAACCAGGCCTTTTATGCTGCGTCATCGAAGGCATTGGGCATTTGCATTGTTTTTGTTCTTTAATGCATGAATATTTTCGTTAATGTATTGTGATAATATATTCATAACACGTTTAAGATTGTTAGCAATTTAATTAGAAAAGCCCATTGCAATGAGTCGTTCGCGTATTTGTTGAAATACAGTTTGCGAAAAGGATCTGGAAAACACAAGTGCATGAGTCCTTTGGTCACAGCTTATAATAATCGAAGCCGAGTCCTTGAATACTAACAGACACTGAAGGGCTTTAACGGTCTCAGTGTACAGCGAGTTGTCAAACAGCCTATGGATATTTCGATCTGTGCTATTTCGCAGCTATTCAGATTTGCACGTCTATCAAAAAGATCACTCTTGGCGATGTCAGTCAAGTCCAATTACCTTGAATAATTTTAGTTAGACTCCACGACGTGTCTGTTGTTCTTTTGGTCTGTACATGGACAACATTATTTCAAATCTGTTGCAAATGTATGTATGAGCGAGTCGAGTCTACGGTCCAGATTAGATTTGTTGTGCAACACTGCCACCTGTTGGAAACCAGAGGTGGTGATTATTTTACCACTGTTCAAGATTTATTATTTCACACGACGTGGAAAAAAAATGACTTTCTGAAATAATAACATTTAATAATAAAGGCCATTGCTCAATAAATATAAGCATATTACCTTTAGTAATGAGAATAGCTACACCTAGCCGAAAAAGCATAATTTTGTTGTTTACGGTTGCCACAATTGGACGTAGGCCTACATTACCCGTTTTACTAGGGCTGGGTATTGTTAGGTATTTCACAATTCGATTCGATTTCAATTCTTGAGGCTTCGATTCGATTCGATTTCGATTCGATTCAATATTGACTTATTAGCTTCGATATCGATTCAATAATAAGTAAATACACAAGTTATTAAGTGCCTAAGTATATTTTTAAGTAATGTGCGCAGTTTTATTAATGTTTAAGAACAAATTGATCCCAGTCATGGTTTATTCAGCAGAATAAAAATGTACAATATTGTCTGTGTTGAATTCAAACACAACTGTGACAAGCACTGTACAGTGCTTTAACAACACCTCTAAAGTGCAAGTAACTAAGTAGTAGAAAGTATATTTTTTTCTTCCTATACATTCAAGTTATAAAAGAAATGTAAACAGAAGCACAAAATGTGCATACTCAAAAAAGTGCAATATTATATTCTAATTATAATTTTGTAAACAAAAACACTTAATAGCTGATCACAGTTAACAGCAATTGCGATTTATCAGGCCAATTCTAAGGGGGAAAAAATACTAACCTTTTTCCCTCTCAGAAGTTTATATCTCATAGACTTTATATCATGCATTTCTGACTTTATATCACGCAATTCTGACTTTATATCTCGCAATTCTGACTTTATATCTTGCAATTCTGAGAAATAAAGTCAGAATTGCGAGAGGTAAACTCCCAATTGTGAGAAAAAAAAAAAAAGTCAGAATTGTGAGATAAAAAGTCGCAATTACCTTTTTTATTTTCCATTCTGTGGCGGAAACAAGCTTCCATAGTTCCCGGCTTACAGTGGAATCCAAAATGAGCCCAAACGTCGGCTTTTAATGTCTTGAATCAGGCTTGAACGGAGTGCAGCTGCTGTCCGTCATCGTGCTGTTTTGCTAAGGGCTAAAGCGCGACTTGTACAATGCTGAGCGCTCTCACTAGAGTGTAGCCCACAGCGCCGCCACTGGCCTGGATGGCTGAATCGATTCATAGGATTTGATGAATCGATATTGAATTGAGAAGCAAAAAATTGCAATGCATTGATGAATCGATATTTTTACCCAGCCCTACGTTTTACTACTCGATTTATTCGTAAAATAAAATATATTAAAGAGACATTTTATTATTATATTATTTAGGCTACATTTCCAAAAAGAACTCGTGGCTCGAAGCTGATTTCCTCCTCAATGTTAGTTTTACGACTAAAAACTGAGCAGTTGTAGCTGTTTTCAATAGAAAGTTTAAAACTTGTCAAAAGGTTGTTGTTGTTGTTGTTTTTACTGATTTACTGTATCGTTAGGCTCTCTTATCCCAGTCATTTTGGATTATTAATGTGGCCAGTAAGCACTCAGAGCATCTAATTTGATTTCAGAAATACCCATGCTAGCTCAAAGAGTTGCGACTGTTATCATTTATTATTGACCCTCATGTTGTTCCAAACCTGTATGAGTTTCTGTCTTCTGTTGAACGCAAAAGAATATATTTTGAAGAATATCGATAACCAATTAGTTGATGGACCACTTTGACTTCCATAATCGTTTTTTCCATAACATTGAAGTCAATGAGGTTTACCCAACTATAAGTACTTCGAAATTATTGAAGAAAAAAAAATCTCATTTTAATACGTTCAGCAGAAGAAATAAACTTTGAGGGTGAGTAGGCCTAAATGATGACAAAATTTTCACTTTTGGGTCAACTTTCCCTTTAACAAGCTAAAAGTTCCTATTACCAGCAGGGGACACTAGTAAACTATGAAAAACAAATGGTATTATGATCATATGACCTCAATATGTAAAATCAATTTTTACTAATCGCAGCTAAAATCAAGAACTCATCTCAAAAAGCTACATGGCTCGCTTAAAAATCCCTTTCAATTGAGAATTTCACCCAAAAACAAAACAAAACATGTCAATTTGTAAATGTGCTTGACATTTATAAAGACAATAAAATAAGTATATTTTGAGTATGGTACACACACAAAGTTGAAGGCACCTTGACTTAAACAAACACTTAACAGTTCTGCCTTGGATTCAATCAAAGACAAACAAAACAAATATTGAAAAGAGACTTTAACCCTTGAATTTAGAACTATATTCTTAACAATACAATCTTTATTCATCAAGAATAAAAAAAACGAATAAGACAACAGTGGTGTTGTGATGCCTAAAATATATTATTTCATATATATATATATAAATATATATATGAAAATCCTACATTTGCTTTTGTTGCCTAGAATATTTTTTCTTAGTTGCTAGTACACTGTGCATCTGAAATAGCAAATGTGTGCAGTTAGCTCTTATATAAATGTGATTTACTGTTTATTTAAGATACAAACACTTATTTATATACTCAATAAATTATATTATTTTATTGCAACAAACTATTGATTGTACTACATATTTGTAGATTTGAGAACGGTGGCAGATTATGAGACTTTGATTGTCATAATCAACTGTTTGTGCAACAGTCTTATGGAGAAACAATAAAGGAGCTACTTAATATTACTTGGGCGCTCAGTGTTTTCTACACACACACAAATGTTAGGTCTTATCGACTTATACATGTGGCATTAATGTCACTGCACACTTGCTGAAGCATTTGCAACACTCACTGCTGTAAAATATCATTTTTGGCCACTCAGATGTTTAAAGCAAATACTTCAAGTTAAAAACGTTGCATTTGAGCTGGACTTCTGCCTGCAGAGATAGTTATGCTTTTCGTTCCAGTTGCCAAATCACACCATCCAGGTGCAGACGGAAGATCTTCGTGGAGGGCGAGTTGAGTGGATCATGGCCAGACAACATATCTCAGCTCTGCTTTTAGTCAGTCATCATCAGACAAGAGTCGCCACAGGAACTGATGTGTCTGCTGAGCAATAGCACCCCTCCTGCATTGTTTTCCATGCAAAACAAGGAGAAAAGATGATTCCAAGCTCCTCTACCTCATTCACTCACATAGTACACACCCTGAGATACTCATTCATCCTTAGAGGAGGAGTGTATTAGCCCATTGTGCGGTGAGCAGCAAGCCGTGTTGGGACATAATGAGTGTTAATCTGAAGCTACTCATAGTGTTTGTTATAGTGCATCTCTGCTGCAGCGGGTTGAAGGGGAACGTGGTCATTTGTTAAGCGTGATGGTAGCATAAGTTGTTGGGATGTAGCCCTCGTCCCCGTTGTTCCGGCGCACCCGCGTCCACCCATCGCCCTTATCCTCCTCCACTACAGACAGCACCTCTCCTTCCTGCATGGATATGGTGCCTTCGCTGGAGCCTGTTGACAGATGGATGATGGCGGAGGCGAGTGTCAGAGGACAAGAGGGGGATATGATATTCGCCACTGCTTGTGCGATGCCTTGTAATCGTACCTGGGAAATTATAGAGCGCTGTGCATTGACCAATAGGTGCGGCGAGTTCCTCTTCCTCAAAGTCGTCGTCAAACTCGGTGTAGATGGCATGGGAGGGGTCCGTGTCATCTGAGAAAACTCCAGGACTAAAAAAAAAAAAAGAGCACAGGACAATTCTGATGATAATTATCGCCTTGACCGGGATATTCCTGCTTATTTGAATTCTGTGTTTATTAATATCTCTGGGTATCCACATTACTAAGTAATTTGAGTACAAGAGAAGTGAAGATACGAGAACTCAAATGACGTATTACAAACATTTAAAGGAGTAGTTCACCTTGCATATAATGGACTTCAATGGGAACCAAACGGTTCAATGTCCAAAAGACACTTTCAGTGCAAACTGCAAACTGTTCAAAGGGCTTTAAACAATTCCAGATGATGAATAAGGGTCTTATCTAGCGAAACGATCGCTCATTTAAAAAAAAAAAACAAAGTTTAAGTTTTATGAGCTCAAATTGGTCGGCTTGCTCTGTTCTGTGACGCACGTTTCTGACTCTCCTGTTCGAACTCGTTTATCAAAATGAACGAATCTTTTTCCAAGTCATTTGGTTCATTCAACGAACGAATTGACTCGGAAAAAGATTCGTTCATTTTGATAAACGAGTTCGAACAGGAAAGTCACAAACGTGCGTCACAGAAAAGAGCAAGGTGACCATTTGAGCTTATAAAACAAACTTTTTTTTTTTTAAATGAGTGATCGTTTCGCTTGATAAGACCCTTATTCATCGTCTGGAATCGTTTAAAGCCCTTTGAACAGTTTGCACTGAAACTGTCTTTTGGACCTTGAACCGTTTGGTTCCCATTGAAGTCCATTATATGGAGAAAAATGCAGGAATGTTTTCATCAAAAACCTTAATTTCTTTTCGACTGAAGAAAGAATGACATGGACATCTTGGATCACATGGGGGTGAGTAAATTATCAGCAAAAGTTTTTTTGAAAAGTGAACTACTTCTTTAAGAGTGCTTCGGCTTTATGACAGTCCCTCAAGAAAAACGCGATTATGCGATCGCTGAATTCAATGCAGCGCTTTCTATGATGTAGTATGCTTTTTTATCAAAGGAAGTAATAAGAAATGACTCTTATATTAACAGGATGTTGGGGGAATCACTTTTTTCTCTTTTTCATCAAACCGCAATTTTTGCAAGTTCTCTCAATTTTTGCAAATTCCAGCAATTTCATCGCATAAAATTGCATAAATATCCCACATATTCCATCGCATTTCTAAAGAAAACTGGCCGCATAATCAATTTTTGCCCGCAACAATCACAAAAAAAAAACTCCGCGTTTTTCTGGAAGGACTGAATACTATTATGGTAAATGTTAAATATAAATGGAAAATTTTTTCACAAATTTTTGGAAATTACCACCACAAAATCAGTCATTTTGATCGCAAAAATCACACAAAAAAAATCGTGAAATCCTGGAGGGACTGTTATGAGGACTAAATTTATAGAAAGGAGTGAATGGACCATACTAGTGAATTTTGCACACCATAATCAGAAATAAAACTGACCTGCTGGGGTTGTGAGCACCATTATTGTTCAGAGAGTGCGTGGAGTATCGTATCGAGTCACCCCGGCCCCCTGCTTCTGCAAGCCAGGACTACAACAAACCAAGACGTGAGTGTGCTGAGAAAGTCTTCATGAAGCGGATGAAGATTTACAGACAGTGTTAAAACTGAAACCTCATATTTGTTGAGATCTCCTCGCAGTCTTTCCATGTTTTGTGCCGTCTGAGTGATCTGAGGCGCCAAACTGGCGGGATCTCCCATCTGAGGGTTTTTTTCATATACGTCTTTCATCTTACCCAGAGCCTCACTGCAGAGAGATATTAATATATTTATTTAAGATAGAAAGAGATTGATCATAAAAGAAAGAACAAACAGATTCGGTTACTCGTGGCACTCAACAACACTGATTCCTTGGAGACCTGAAGAGCTTAGTAAACAAAGCCCAGACCCCGGTAACCCTGAGGATTCAGCTGTGGCCGGTTGCCATAGAGATGGTTGTCGGAGAGGCGACTCACCTCTGATCCATTTCCTTCTGCAGCTCCTTGCTGATGTCATCGATCTTCTGCTGCAAGCGTTTCCGGCGCTGCTCAGGAGGAAGATGGGTGAAACCCTCCGTGTCCACGGGCTGAGAGAGATCGGGGGAGATAGAGTCACTCACAGAGAGTCACACCAAAACACAACCCACCGACACCACAAGATAAGACGTGAACCAGAGACCCAACAGTAAGAGTTCAGGTTTGCAGTAGCAAAAGATGTAACATAGCAATTCGTCAACAGGGTAATTACCGCCTGTTCCACTTAAACACTACAGGCCTGTATGCTTTAACAAGAATTTGGCAACACATTTTCCATTTTAGTCAAGTCAGACATGCTTAAATGGGTTTTACTCAAAAGAATGTTCTGGGCTTAATAAAACTAGCTTTTTGAACAGAATTTGTGGCATGCTGTCGACTATTCTGTAAACTAGGAATAGTGACCGGAGGGGTTTAAAGGCATAAAAGCTGATATTTAAAAGGTTTAAAAGCTAATATTTATGTTAACACAGTTACATGAAATATATTTAGAAGGGCTGTCAAGCGATTACATTTTTTTAAACGAATTAAATCACACAATGTTAATTAATCGCTATTTAATTGTAAGTCAAATTTGGCTGAGAAATTACCCACATTAGATCATTTAAAGTCATATTGTGTTAAATAGCACAATATCAAATAGAAAAGAAAAATTATTTTATTTGATTAAACGTTTAGGCTTAAACGACCACGAGGGCGAGTACATTTTCATTTCCGATGAACTGTACCTTTGATGGGCTTTTATTAAAACGGTAACTGAAATATTTTTTCAATGAAATGAAACTCTAAATAAGAAACTAAAAACGAATATCTAAATGAGTAAGTCGGTTAATTGAAACGATTCATTCAGCTGATTCATTCAGCAATCAAGCAAGTGGCTTTCTTTATGAATGGGCCATTAAATCATCGGTTCACCCGATTTATTCACTAAAAACGTGCACCATGACGCCCTGCATCATGTTTGCCACCATCAACTGAATGAAATGGGTCTAGGACGGGACGGATGTGTTAAATTAGTTTATTTGAAAGAGTTATTTCTTAACCAGAACTAATAAATAAAGTTAACTAATACAGTAAATAATTGGGGGGGGTTGGTTTGCTTGCCATTTCACGGTAAAAAAAAAAAAAAAAGAAACAGGTGAGACAGAATATAACAACAGCAACTTTAGTTTTAAAGGGATAGTTCACTTTGAAATTAATTTTTGGTATGTTTTAGCTTACCTCAAGGGCATCCAAGATGTAGGTGTCTTTGTTTCCGCAGCAGTTTCAATTTTGATATTTTTAGGTCAAACCGTTCTTGTCTATCAGTCATATAATGGAGGTCTATGGTCACCACCTCAAAGAACAGGCACAGAGAAGTCCAAATTAAACATGATTTAATTACTCGTAAATGTAAGTACACATTGACGGCCTAAGACACGAAACGAGCGGTTTGTGTGAGAAAACGAACAGTATTTATATCGTTTTACCTCTTATAACCACAGCCACGTCCAAGTGATCTGAGGGTGCGGGTACTTTCTGGCTGTGGTTACAAGAGGTAAAAACGATATAAATACTGTTCGTTTTCTCACACAAACCATTTGTGTCGTGTCTTAGGCCATCAATGTGTACTTACATATATGAGTCATTAAATCATGTTTAATTTGGATTTCTTTGTGCATGCTCTTTGAGGTGGTGACCATAGACCTCCATTATATGACTGACAGACAAGAACGGTTTGAACTAAAAATATCAACATTGAAACTACTGTGGAAACAAAGACACCTACATCTTGGATGCCCTTGAGATAAGCTACAACATACATACCAAAAATTAATTTCAAAGTGAACTATACCTTCAACAAGTACAAAAAGATGGTCATAACTAAGTAAAATATCGCAGACACTGGACAAGGATGAAACTTTCTCTTGTGCAAAGTTATATTTTATTTTAAAGTTGGATATTACTTAGAGCAGACTGGTTTAAAAGTAGAAATAGCCTATTGTTAGTTGAATGATGAAATATAATAGATACACGATCAAAAAAGCGTTACGGTTTCATATTTTTAGCTTTTATTCACAGTGCTGTAAACTTGCCCCATATACCTCCTCCAAAAGTGTTTTCAATTGTTTTTACAAACCCAAGGGAGAGATGATCTCAACAGGGTATAGATTTAATATAACCAGGAATATTCTTTTGAACAACCCTCAATGCATTTAAACCACATGCATAGATTAATCAATGCAACTTTAAAACATGTCCAATATAGTATACCATAACATCCTGGCTTAAGCATCAATGCATAGAATATGTGTTTATATGCCTTTGTGTTGCAGTGCTCACCCTGGAATGGCTTGTCACGGTTTAAGAGCCATGATATAGAGTGTACTGTTAATAAGCCCAGAGCCTTATGTGCCTTTTACTGAGAATGGCCACCTCTACAATAGTTAATAATAGAAAATCTGTCATTTTAGAGCAGATGTAGAGGTGGTCATAAGTGAGGATCCTCAGAAGAAGAAAAAAATCCAATAAAGACAGAGGAAGTGAAATATATATGTATATGACAATTACGGGCCATACCATTTTAAGCTTCTCTGGAGCAAACTAAGAGAGAAATAAACAGACAGTGCTTTATAAGCTGGCATCACACTAGTCAATTTTTTCCTTCTGTTTCTCAGAGTCTCTCATGCTAGTCACTTCAATTTTTTCTAGTTCTGGATCTTACAAAAAGCAGCTCATATCTTCAGCTTTTGCATGACCTGCTTCTTGTAGGACCCCTGAAGTATCATGCAATATCATGAAACATGATTGTATTTGCACAGCCATAGTAGATGTGCATAACCAGTAAGCTCTGATTCAACAACTGGCATGCTCTTGAGCACTTTTGAGCACTGCTCAAATCTCATCCAAACAGCATAAAAGTGCTGACCATTGTCGACCGTGATTGTGTAAACAAGCATTTTTGGCATTCGCCCTGAACTTACATGGGCAACAAAATAAGAAAGCAAAGGTAGAACAATCTAGTTTTATTTTAATTAAAGGAGTAGTTCACTTTTTTTTAAAAAAACTTTTGCTGATAATTTACTCACCCCCATGTCATCCAAGATGTCCACATCTTTCTTTCTTCAGTCGAAAATAAATTAAGGTTTTTGATGAAAACATTCCAGGATTTTCTCCATATAATGGACTTCAATGGGAACCAAATGGTTCAAGTTCCAAATGAGAGTTTCAGTGCAGCTTCAAAGGGCTTTAAACGATTTCAGACGGTGAATAAGCGTCTTATCAAGGACCCTTCGAGTCATGACTCAAAAAAAGATATGTTCATTTTGATAAACGAGTTTGAACAGGAGAGTCACGAACGCTAATCACAGAACAGAGCAAGCCTAGCATTTGAGCTTACAAAACGTAAACTTTTTTATTTATTTTTTAAATGGCCGATCGTTTCGCTAGATAAGACCCTTATTCATCGTCTGGAATCGTTTAAAGCCCTTTGAAGCTGCACTGAAACTCTCATTTGGACCGTTTGGTTCCCATTGAAGTCCATTATATGGAGAAAAATCCTGGAATGTTTTCATCAAAAACCTTAATTTCTTTTCGACTGAAGAAAGAAAGACATGGACATCTTGGATGACATGGGGGTGAGTAAATTATCAGCAAAAGTTTTTTTTTTTGTTTTTTTTTTAAGTGAACTACTCCTTTAAGTAATGTTTTCACATAAGTTACGCTGGAAAACTTGAACATACTACAAGCTCCAGAGAGACAAACACACAATCACACTGACTCAAAGGACAAAGTTACTATGTGAAGTGCATTCTAATCCAGTCTTTTCTCCTGTTCTTATTTCAGCAAGCTTCATGTTGATTTGATGCCAATATGAGATGTTGAAATTCATGGGAATGAGAAAGAAATATCCGCAAGAAATATTTGACACCAAACTTTCATTCTTAATCGCGGAGTGTGAAAGACTCACTGCCAGAAGAGGGTGAGATTGATCTCCTACTGTCATCAGTTCTCTCGAGTTGGCTAGTTGTGATGTCAGCCTTAGCTACAACTCAGTAGGTGTTATAAGTGTATTAGAGGAGTGTGGCAGGAATAGGTGAAAAGTTGGTGCAGTTGTGATTGAAGATGAGTGGTGAAAGAGCTGTGATTTCTACTTCAATTCTTGTGCATGTGACCACTACTCAGATCAATCTAGTGCTGCCGAACGCCTTAAAGAGACAGCAGCACACAGGTGTAGAAAACTTGCTTGATCCCTGACCGGTCACACTCACCGTTTTCTTGAGGGTCCGGAAGGACGAGATTCGGGGTTTGACTGTCTTATTGATTTCCTTCAAACAGTACGACAGGGGGTCCCGGCCAAACTTTGGGGAAGGGGGTCCGTTAGCGGGCGAGGGGGTGGGGGGTGTGGAGAAAGGACTGAGCGAGGACGAGGGAAGCTGGGACAGACACCAGGCACAAACCCAGAGGAACACAGGGACAGGACGGCAGGAGAGGGACAGGGTAAAAACAAACAAAAAACACATATGACAAGGGAAAATAAAGAGACACCATCAAACACCTCAAAGCAACATCAAAACAGCAACGAGGACAACACTAGACCAACCTTAGCCAGAGCCGAGAGAAGCACGACAAAAGAAAACCCAAACCCACAACAGCCCCAAATCCACAAGCCCCAGCAAAGCAATCAGCCAGATGAAGAAGCAAACAATGGCTCCATCAGAAAACAATAAAAGTCTCGGCTTGACCTTCAAGAGATGCAGGAATGATTGAAAGGACATACATGAATGGCACCACCATTTAAGGTCATGTAGATTACACAACTATGGTCTATTCAAACATTGCTTAACGTTGATGAAACAGTTATGACGTTTTCTAAAAAAATTGAGGTGACAGGACTACCCATCATTACCCAAACATCATTACTAGCCCAATTTTCTTTCTTTTTTATGTGGCAGCATGAAAACAGACACAAAAAAATCAAGGCATAAATTACACGCCTACAGCGAATCCACTGCATTTGCTAAAAAGGTTCTGGTCTGGAAATTATCCCAAAAATGTCCATTTCATTCAAACCAAAATCCCTTGAGAGCACATCAAATTGAATTTATGATAACCAAATGCATAGACTTTCCAGAATAATTTGCACTGTAGGCAGCATTAGGCCGTGTGTCCACCAAAGCGTTTTTTCCACGCGCCTGACGTACATTTTCAATTGTTTTCAATGGTTTTTTTTAAACGCCATGAGCGTAACGAGGCGCTGAGCGTTTTTTTCACGCTGAAGCGTCGAACGTTTTTTACTGGTCGCCGAGAGTTGAAAAATGATCAACTTTGGATAGACCAACGCCACTTTTGCGTCATCGAAGGGTAACGCCCCCTTTTGGGGGAAAACACCTCTATACTGTCTATGGGAAAACAAACGGATTCCCATGAGAACAGAACTTGCACTAGATCTGCAAAGTTTCTTGATAGCAAAAATGGCACAAACTTAAAGAAGCTAACGTTACTGAATACGGGGTTACAGAGGTTTCCCTTTGAAATGGTCGAAAACTGGATTAATGACCCCACACAGCGGCCAAATATGGACTATTCAGACATCTAACAATACCACTATCTCCTGGAATCACCAAGTAAGTAGCCTTTTTTATTTATTTATCATTTACACACTCACAGTAGCCTATTACAAACTACTAGACGATGAGGCCATGTCACTTGGATCATATTTAACTTGATTTAAGCTATTGACAGTTTTGTTGTCGACTCGCTATTAGAAAGACTAGCTGTTAGCAGCTAACGTTACCTTATTAGACTATGTCAATAGCTTAAATCAAGTTAAATATGATCCATTCATCGTCTAGTTTGTCATACTGTGAGTGTTAATGAAAAAAAAGGCTACGTGCTTACTTGGTGATTCCACGAGATAGTGGTAACGTTAGATGTCTGAATAGTCCATATTTGGCCGCTGTGTGGGGCCATTAATCCAGTTTTCGACCATTTCAAAGGGACACCTCTGTAACCCCGTATTCAGTAACGTTAGCTTCTTTAAGTTTGTGCCATTTTTGCTATCAAGAAACTTTGCAGATCTAGTGCGAGTTCTGTTCTCATGGGAATCCGTTTGTTTTCCCATAGACAGTATAGAGGTGTTTTCCCCCAAAAGGGGGCGTTACCCTTCGATGACGCAAAAGTGGCGTTGGTCTATAAAACGCAGCGCTCATCACTGTCACTTTTTACCCAGCCGTCCAATCACGATGGAGGAGGGGCGGGACTAATACCACACCGACCAACTGTCACAACATTCTTTCTGTTCAACGACATCAACCAGCAGAGCTAACCCAACAAAATGGATGAAAAATACATTTTTTGTGTGAAACAAATTATCTGCGAAATCAGTTACATGTAAACTGTGCTGTGCTGCGGATAGTGACAGTGATGAGCGCTGCGTTTTACCCAAAGTTTCAGCGTGAAAAAAAAAACGCTTAGCGCCTCGTTAGGCTCATGGTGTTTAAAAACCGCGGCGCTCCCATTGAAACAAATTGAGGCGCGTGGAAAAATTTGGTGGACACACGGCCTTAGGCCCCGTCCACACGGAGACGTTTAGCTGTATACGTATAAATCTTTTATCGTATTGGCGTTTCGTCCAGACGGATCCGGCGTTTTGGGACACTGAAACCGCTGTTTTTTGAAACAGGGTCCCAGGGTGGATTAATCTGAAAACGACACCCTTGCATTTTCGTGTGTACGGCCAATCCGTATATTTTGTGAAACGATGATGTCATCACCCCACTTGTCGACTAGTCAGACAGACACGTAACAGCAACAACTGCTGAACTGCTTGTATAATAATAATAATAATATAATATAATGCGGCAGAAACTACTGAGCCTCTTGTATTCCTTTATTTATTATTTACTTGAATGTTTTTTATTGATTTATTTAGGCCTATACTTTCTTTCGTATACTATGGTGCTGGTCTGTTGTCTGATTAAGACATTTCGTATTTTGTATGGGATGGGGATTTAAAGCAAAAATAATATTCGACGATCGATGGGAATTATTTGATTATTACATTTCTCTGTAGGTTATTGTAGGCCAAGTTGAAGCCATTAAAGAAATATATTTAGTTTAATATTTATGTTTAAATATGTTATTTTTTTTATTGAATCTATGTTGATTATGAAAAGTGAACCTTTTCATAATCAACATAGTGCATATGTGTGCATATGCGCAATATATCGGGAGAGCTAATTTTGACCACATTAAGTTTGGCTTTGTATAGAGCCTTTCTTTAAAGTGAATTTCATTTTTGTATAAATTGTATCTTAATTTTAATAAATGTTTCATCAACTAGTTACCTGGATTTAATAAATAACTTGCATTGCTCGTGAGCTGGAGCTTGTCTCATAAATGAACCGAAACTCAGAAATATATAGAAAGCTTGAAATGGTAAGCGGAATTATGGCAGAATTACAGCGCCACATACTGGTCTGGGATGTATACTACATAGTTTTGAGTGGGTTTCAGTGGTTTTGTGTGTACGCAAATATTTGAGATGCCGCCGTGTTTACAGACTTTTTTTAGAACGAGGAAAAAAAAAAACATCGGCTAGGGAAAGCTTCGTGTGGAAGTGGCCTTAGAATAGTCAACTGCTTATAGTCAACTATTACTGTTTTACGCCCCACTATGAATGTAATGAGTGGAGCCACTTTTTGCCCAATCAACATTCAGAGGTTTATGTTGGATTGCATAGCAACAAAATAGACTAAAAATGAAAGGAGCCCTGATAATTCAGTGAATAAGCTGTGCACACCTGCTCTTTTCAAAAGTGAGCTGCCTACAAAGACAACCTCACACTTAAAGGAGTAGTTCAATTTTCAAAAAAAACTTTTGCTGATAATTTACTCACCCCCATGTCATCCAAGATGTCCATGTCTTTCTTTCTTCAGTCGAAAAGAAATTAAGGTTTTTGATGAAATCATTCCAGGATTGTTCTCCATATAACGGACTTCAATGGGAACCAAACGGTTCAAGGTCCAAAAGACAGTTTCAGTGCAAACTGTTCAAAGGGCTTTAAACAATTCCAGACACTGTTCTGTGTGACTCTCCTATTAAAACTCGTTCATCAAAATGAACAAATCTTTTCCCCGAGTCAACTCGTTCATTTCGTTCGTTGAATGAAATAAATGACGCGGAAAAAGATTCGTTCATTTTGATAAACAAGTTTGAACAGGAGAGTCACGAACGCGCATTACAAACTTAAAACTTCCTTCTTTACATATTAAATGAGCGATAGTTTCGCTTGATACGACTCTTATTCATCGTCTGAAATCATTTAAAGCCCTTTGAACAGTTTGCACTGAAACTGTCTTTTGGACCTTGAACAATTTGGTTCCCATTGAACTCCATTATATGGAGAAAAATCCTGGAATGTTTTCATCAAAAATCTTAATTTCTTTTCGACAGAAGAAAGAATGACATGGACATCTTGGATGACATGTGGGTGAGTAAATTATCAGCAAAAGTTTTTTTTTTTTTTAAAGTGAACTACTCCTTTAAATCTACAGCTCAAGAGTTGATTCCATAAGAAGTTTTAAACCCTACAATTGCATCAAACAATCCTCTACGAGTTTTGTGGCTAAACGAATGACAGCTTGGTGCTAAAAATAAGTATTTCCCCTTAAAATGGTTTAAGCTTCTCGACACAGCGACTGTCTCAGCCGGAAAAGCAAACATGCACGGTGAGCAAAAAGTAAAGCGTCAAGGAATAAAGGAAGATGTTTGATCTACACGACTAAGGGTAGTAGATTTGATGTGCGACTTTTGTAAAAGACAACAAATGATGTTTGCCTACTCGCAAGGAAAAGAATGGATCTGCACAATGATTAGGACTGAAGACAAGACTGGACAGTTAAGCTGGCAAGCTCAGGAAGGCTGCCAGAGGAAGCGCTGAGGGTCGTGTGAAGAACGCAAAGCATTGAACAAGCAGGAAATAAGATAATTGGAGGAGCAGGAAATTATATTATTAATATGAAGGTGGAGTGTTCCTAGAAAACACTTCAGACCTATATAAACACCCATTGAATCCTATGCAGAGCTCTGAATCATCACATGACTGAAAAGGGAATGTTTTCAATGCTTCAATGCTCATTTTAAGAGGATTTTTCTCCTTAACAACTTAACCAGATGCAACCGAGCATCTTTCCTGATGGCAAACAGTGCACAAAGGTATCATTGTGATGGGACTGAATGATATTTTATACTAGCATATAATAGCAGTAGTGTGTGTGTGTGTGTTAAGGCCCATAGCAGAGACAGCAGTGTCCCAAAGAAAAGCACAGACACAGCAGAATGAGCACCAGGTCACACGCTGAGCTAAACAACAGAGCTGGGGGCTTTTCAATCCCCATTTACAGCCAGACAGCCATGCAAAGGGTGTATGCTGGAGAACCATCTGTGTTGGGTGCGTCAAAAAGATTGAGAGCTGGGGTAAGGAAAGGTGACGGGTGGTTTCAACATCATGCATCTTTCCGCTGTGGCAGGGAGACAAAGGGTGCCAGAGACCACATCTCTATACCTTTACTTTACCTTTTCTAGAGACCTTTCAAAGACCTGAAACTATTTTTCTCCCAAAATCATCTCAAGCCAAGAGGGCAGGAATCTAACCTTAATTTAACTTGAACCAATTAACTTGAAACATTTTCCAGGCAAGTGTGGAGCTAAACGTTTGCTGGAGGTCCTACAGGAGTGGGATTGGACATCTCTTCAGCAATTGGTACTGTAGAAACCTGCAACAGATCTATGGTTCTGGTGGCTGGGTTCAAAGTTCCTTCAAGCTGGACAAATTTGGTCAGGAGTGTCCAATTCTGCTCCTGGAGGGCCAAAATTAAACACATCTGAACCAGCAAATCAAGCTCTCCAGTAACGCTAGAAACTTCCAGGCAGCTCAGGACCAGAATGGTACACCCCTGATTTAGATGGCTGATCAGCAGTTAGAGCTGTTAGACCAGTATGGACAATCTGGTTGACGATCTAACTAAGCTTTGGCCATTTTTCTCCACAAAGAACACAGGAATTTCATCAGAAGGAACTCTGGTTTCATGGAGAGGTGAAGCCTACCTTGCTCTTCTTATTAAACAACCGGAAGGTTTTATTCCTGTTCTTGCCCAACAGCTCTAGGGGACCTTTAGGAGTGCTAAGGCTGCTCTCCGAGGAGGCCCGGTTGATGCCCTGACTGTAGTCCTCAAACTCCAGATCGCCTGGTCTCTCGAAGCCAGACTTATGTTGCTCTATAAGAACCACAGAGTCCTGAATAACACAGAGAAGGGTTAGGGTTTTCAGAAGGTTGACTGCTCTCTCAAAGTGTTTGGGGTGTCCAATCCCTATGTCCTGCTGAGTTTAGCTCCAACCTGCCCAATCACACTAGTAATCCTGAAGGCTTTGATTAGATAGTTCAGTTATGGCTAAACTCTGCAGGATTGTGGCCCTCCCGGGGAAGGATTGGACACCCTCGGTTTAATGAGAGCAGGATGTGAATCGACTCACGTTCCTCTCGTTGACATTCGTGCCAGCTCTGGAAATGCCCTCCAGACACTTCCCAATGATGGGCATGACTTGACGCTCCGTGTCTGCAAACTGGATGTAGCCCTGTGCCATCTTTTTGATTCGCCGTTCATCCATGTCCTGCAGATTCTGCGGAGAAAATAACATGCGTATAGATATCAGTATAAACTCTGCAAGACTCCTTGGGATCATTCCCATAGTAAGCTGACAGGAACAGACAAGTTAGGACTGAGGCGGGTGCTTCTTACATTGAAAATAAGGGGCATGTCCGTGAAGTAGAACTGATTCTGCTCTTTGTTGTACTTCTGAAGTTGCGCAGCATAGTCGTTTTTACACTCTTCTGCTATGTGTGTTCGCATATGTGCCTGCTGTTTGGCCTATGGTTAGATAAAGAAAAAAGCGAAATCAGACACCTGTACATAAAGAGGAACAAGGAAACAACAATAATGCATTTGGATATAATGGAAATGAGATGGCAGGATAGGAAGATGTGCATACAAAGGTGCGGCAACACCTGTGAAACCTTTTGGGGAAACGAATACCTTCTCCACGTCGGCTTTGGTAGCGTTGAGGTCTTGATCTGTTTTCTCTGCATTTTGAGTAGCCTTTTCTGCTTCTCTCCACTCCCTTTCAAATCGTTTTTTACTCTACCAACAAAAAAGAGAGAAAATGTACCCATAAGTAAACATTGTGTCATCACCAAACCTATATCACTTTTTTTGTTCCTCTGACATTTTACTACTGGCAATTACACACAAATTAAACAAGGCATTTAGCATCACCAAATGCAAACCTGCTATGAGTACTCATGCATGCATATTTGAATATACATGTAAAAGTCCCTGTGAAGGGGCTTGAGTGCGGATTTATCAAAATATGCGTAAGCTACATATTTACACTGCCAGAATAGCTCTTTATTTCGTGTCGTTCACGTAGTGTGAGTAAGTGCGTGAATAAGTGATTCATCGTATGATCCTTTCATCGTGTAGGAGGTGGGAAGCTTCAGTTCAGATTCTAGAGATAATTTGATTGGACAGACAATATGGCGAGTTCCCAAAGTGCATTGTTGAATTTTGAATGCATATATCTCCTAAATGTGAATTTTGCCGAACGTTTGGAGCGCCCTCTCTTAGTGATGATCTTTTATTGAAATAATTTTTGGTATTTTTGTAGCTTGACAGCATCTATCCCCACTCACTCTTATTTCATGGACAATATCAGCATTAATATTCTATCGAACATCTCCTTTTGTTTTCCAAAGAGGAAAGAAAATCACACTGGTTTGGAACAACGTGATTTCTACATGAAAGAAGGCGGAGCCTCAGTGCCACACCCACTTAGTATGTAATCACCACAAACCAATGGTGGCGCGAAGGTGTTTACCAGCTGGAGTGAACTTTTCTGGAAAGTTTGATTTGGCAAGTCATTAACGAACTCCAAAAAAACTTCGTTTTGGCCTGATTTTGTTCGAAATGACGTCACATCATGGCTGCGTTTCCCAAAAGCATTGTAAGCCTAAGATCGTAGAGACAATTTGTGGCAATTGTTTGCGATCAACTTACAATGCTTTTGGGAAACACACCCCTGTTCGTTCTTGGATTTCGTATACCCTTTACACTTAACACTTCAAACTTTCTACTTTACCCACGTCAGTTTCGCTCTTGACGTGCGAATTAACACAAAGTGGTCAAGCGTCAAACTAGACGCGGTAGACGCGACTTTGACGCGCTATTCGCGTCCGGTGTGAACGTAGCACAAGTTGATCGTAGAAACAATTTGTGGCAATCGTTTGCGATTAACTTACAATGCTTTTGGGAAACACACCCCTGTTCGTTCTTGGATTTCGTATACCCTTAACACTGCTTCCCCCCTCCCCCTCATGCATAATGTGCACAAATGTTAGCATTAATAAAGTCTGAAATAGCTAAATTACACTGACTGCATATGGAAACTTATACTTGACTGTGTTTCTATTTACGTTCCTTACCCTTATCTGAACAAACACAATGGCCACATAAATGGTAAACAATCGCTTTCAGTCCCCCTAGAAAAGAGCTCTCTCCCCACAGTCAGCGCTTACGCCACAAAGAGACGTGACGAAAGCCTCTGACAGGGTGCAAGAGCCAATCAGATCTGGCTGCTCAATGATAAACTCAAAGACACAACGCCCACAGCAGGGTCTCAATCACAACCTGTCACAGAGAGAAACTTACATTGTCGAGCTGCTTGTAGGTGCCCTCCAGAGACTGTTGTGCTTTCTTGGCATCTGACAGATGCTGTTCATTATAGACAGAAAGAGAGAGGGAGAGAATGGTCATTGTGCTTTGGGCTTTTTGACATAACATCACATTTTTAGATTTTCTGAAGGAAAAATTTGAGTGCTGGCTTGTACGAAACTGAAAACCATGATTTATAAGATTAAAGTCTGCATGAAATAAAAAATCATCCCATCTATTTTTTTTAAATGAATCATTCATAATAAGATCTAAAACATGCATCCATTTCTTTTCTTGACTTCAGAATTTGCAATGGTGAAAATTAAGCTTTTTAATGTTGTTTGTACATTCACCTAAAGGATTATTTGGAACACCATACTAATACTGTGTTTGACCCCCTTTCGCCTTCAGCGAAAGAATTCTTTAGAAATGTTGGCCCATATTGATAGGATAGCATCTTGCAGTTGATGGAGATTTGTGGGATGTATATCCAGGAGACGAAGCTCCCGTTCCACCACATCCCAAAGATGCTCTGTTGGGTTGAGATCTGGTGACTGTGGCGGCCATTTTAGTACAGTGAACTCACTGTCATGTTCAAGAAACCAATTTGAAATGATTTGAGCTTTGTGACATGGTGCATTATCCTGCTGCGAGTAGCCATTAGAGGATGGGTACATGGTGGCCATAAAGGGATGGACATGGTCAGAGACAATGCCCAATTGGCACTAAGGGGCCTAAAGTGTGCCAAGAAAACATCCCCCACACCATTACACCACCACCACCAGCTGCACAGCGGTAACAAGGCATGATGATCCATGTTCTCATTCTGTTTACGCCAAATTCTGACTCTACCATCTGAATGTCTCAACAGAAATCGAGACTCATCAGACCAGGCAACATTTTTCCAGTCTTCAACGGTCCAATTTTGGTGAGCTCTTGCAAATTGTCGCCTCTCTTTCCTATTTGCAGTGGAGATGAGTGGTACCCGGTGGGGTCTTCTGCTGCTGTAGCCCATCCGCCTCAAGGTTGTGTGTGTTGTGGCTTCACAAATGCTTTGCTGCATACCTCGGTTGTAACGAGTGGTTATTTCAGTCAAAGTTGCTCTTCTATCAGCTTGAATCAGTCGGCCCATTCTCCTCTGACCTCTAGCATCAACAAGGCATTTTCGCCCACAGGACTGCCGCATACTGGATGTTTTTCCCTTTTCACACCATTCTTTGTAAACCCTAGAAATGGTTGTGCGTGAAAATCCCAGTAACTGAGCAGATTGTGAAATACTCAGACACCAACAACCATGCCATGCTGAAAATTGCTTAAATCAACTTTCTTTCCCATTCTGACATTCAGTTTGGAGTTCAGGAGATTGTCTTGACCAGGACCACACCCCTAAATGCATTGACACAACTGCCATATGATTGGTTGGTTAGATAATGAGAAATTAAACAGGTGTTCCAAATAATCCTTTAGATGAGTGTATGTCTATGTGGTGTTTTTAATATTCTTTAAGACAAACCATGAGAAAATTCGTAAGTCAACACCATTGCTGAGTATTTTCTCCTTAAAACCGCAGTGAACCAAAAACAGCCTCAGAGTGGATCTCTGAGCTGGTGTGAGTGAGTGGAGGCAGGGTTAATTTCACATATTCATATTTCGCATATACTAAATGAGGCAAGAGAGTTACATTCAAGCTATTTTAAGGCAAGACAAACTTTTTTTCTAGGAATTTTTCTGACTTCAGGCCAGGGGGACTTTTAAACATTTTAAACATCTCTCGAGTGAAGCTGAATCATTCAGTCTGCTTAAACCCCACCCCTTTCTTACTACTCAAATCAGATTCCATACAATCAACAGCTGATGAACCCTGATTTTTTCAGCCCATTATATCGTCTACCAGGCAAAAATATGATCGCTTAGGGGCCGGTTTTCCATTCAACTGTGCTACTTTTCCATTGTTTTTTAACGTAAACACACACTCGACGAACGTCTTTAACCGCTTCGCTCGCATCTTTTGCAGCGTCACACGGCATTCTAAAAATGCAGCACTCAAGTTTTTAAATAAATGTGTTTTTAACAGCAAAAACGCGTTCTGCGTGAACATATTTAAAGGATATTTACCTCACAAATCTGATGTATCATTCTTGTCTATATCAACAACATGTTGGGTTGAGTTAATAGTTTAGTCATTTGTTTATATGTCTGACTCTGAGTATGAGCAATGGTAATAGTGATTTGTGCCTTAGGAAGCACAAACAATAAAACAGTGTCCCATAAATTCCACGTGACAAACAAGAGGAGACAGCTGAGGTTATATGGTGAGCATTAACTGTTGTTTATGAAGAGCAGTGTGGCACAAATCAAAAACTCCCCAATAGACTGTAATGTTTTCTTCACCAGTTCCCCTCTCTTTTTACCCACAATCCCCCTTTCTGTGCCCTTCCCAGCTCTCTGTCCCACAGCTTGCTTTATTTTAAGCATGTCCCAGTTTCTCCGACTGCCTCTCTCGCTCTCTCACCATCTTGCGCTCCTGTTTGAGATCCTGGAGGTACTTTGTGAGTTCGATGCAGATATTGATCATCATGTTCTCAGCGATCAGCTCCCTCTGGCCCGCATAGTCATTCATCTCATTCAGGATGTCCAGAAAGGCCTGGTGATTGGAGAACCTAAAGAAAAGTGATACGAATGAGATACAATGCAAGAGATCTCCATGGCCTTATTTTAGTGAACTCATGTTCATTCATTCCCCAACCTCATTTTTGGAAAAGACTCAAAAATCAAACCTCATTAGGGGTTGCAAACAAGTTTTACCCAATGCATACAAAATCTGTAATAATTTAATAGCCCACTTTCACAATCCAATCAAACCCTGATGTTTTACTTGTAAATGTGCCACATATTGCAGAGGTTCAATGTGTTGCGAATGTTGTTTGGTCACCTGTGGCTGATTCAAATAGTGCCTGATTTCCATGAGTGACTTCATTAGCTTAGCTTTCCAGAGGGAGCATACGTAACGTCATTTACACGTGTATGCGCTTGTTTGTTGAACTCATGTGCTTTTGTTTGGCGTCGGCAACGGCCCCACAGGTCCTGCTGCTCAGTCACCGTAGCAACATCAGACATAGCTCAGCGTACCACAGTGAACTGATTATAGCGACTGGGGATTTGTCAGCTTTATTCTCTGATTGCACATTGTTCAGGTTGGATAGATCAATTGTCATCACAATTGTGAGGAAAATTAGTGCAAAATTACCTGCATTCCTGCTCTTCTTTGCTGCCTCGTTTAGGGCTGTATTTCTTGGTTAAATTCCTGGAAACCAGAGAAAAAAACAAAAATCCACTGGATCAACAACATCATATTAATGTCATTTGCAAGTGCTCAGAGTCAGGTTTCAAATGGCTAAAGGTTGCATAACATTGCCACGCTGGAGATCGAAAACTGCAGAGGTCCTGTCGGAGCAGGTGACTGTGAAGCATTTGCATGGGACATTGTGTGCAGAACATTTGTCCTTTCCAACACACAGAGAATGAGGCATTCTCTTTACTCATTTTTCTTACACTAATCAGACAGAAAGGGAGTTTCCATATCTATATCTGCTGTCTAGATCAGTGGTTTTCAAACATTCAAACTGCAAAGAGCCCAAAACAATCCCCTTGTGAGAATAATAAAAGTATATATGATATGATATATGATATGATATGAGATCAAAAAGTTATAAAACTGAAGTCTTTAAACATATTATCAGTTTAAATATTCAATTATTTTTTTATATTATATTATATTATATTATGTGTGAGATTTGTTTTATTTTATCATTTTTTATAGAATTTCTTGGTTCATTTATTAACTTCTGAATTAACTGCTTGTATGACTTAACTGCAAACATATGATTTAATATCCCTAAGTTACATCAAGGGTCAAATCAAGTAGAAATAGCATATTAAAGTTCCAGCTGCATGATGTAACCACTTTTTGTCTCTATTGATTTTTCCAAAAATGCACTGAAAACAGTATTCATACATACAATGTCTTGACTAAACCTCTTCTATGGTATTTATTAAACTATGAATCAACATGCACCAATGCTAGTTATCCAAATGTATGTAATTAAACAATAATACATTACTTGTAACAATTACTTCAATGAGCTCATTGTTTCTGCCTAAAATGTATACATGTATACATGAGCCAACTGCGTGATTAGTATTATGTATATTTTTTAAATATATAATTTACAGTATACGATATATATATATATAAACAGATCACTCTAAATTGTAATGTTGACAATTAGACTGCTTTAAAACAATATATATTGTGAAAAGTGCTATACAAATAAATGTGACTTGAACATGTAAATTTACTTGGGGTTAAAATGTCAGCATGATGCAACTGTTTGATATCATAATTATTATAATTTTAAAAAGCCTCATTAAAAGGAAAAGCTTATGAAATAATTAAAGAGTAACTAAACACTAAACCAACTTTTTTTAGTTCATGATCTGTAAGAATGGATCTTTATTAATACCAGTCATTGATTCGAGTAACTTTTTTGACATTTGTGTATAAAGTGTTTTATTTCAACAATATATGGTGTAAAAGCGTCTTAGTGCTGCCCTCTTCAGGTTGAACGATGGCTACTGCAGTTGAATTTTCCTATTGGATGTTCCGCATTCCGTGACGTATGCAGGTTTCACCTCACCGCGCGAGCTACGCCCTTGGCAGTATAAAAACCATCTTGTGTCGTCAAAACCACTGTAGGGAGTCAGGAGTTGGAATTGTGAGTATTGAAAACGATCAGGATAGAGTGTTTTAGCATCTACTGTATTTCGTCTCCTCTATCTCCGCTGGGGTCCGCCCACTTTTTCAGCATTTTCAAATATTGCCAGTGGGTGGAGTCAGGCTCTGACCAGGGGTTTAGTTACCCTTTAAGCATAATCTTTCTTTATTATAGTTTTTTGGATTTAAAAAAAACTGCTTAAAATCATGTGGTACGATAGACAAAGTAAAGTGATGTGTGACCATGTGTCAAGATCAATAAAATACGCACTTTTTTTATTGGAAAAAGTTATTTCAGGTTGTAGAATGTCATGTGGTGCAACTCGCTAAAAAAACAATTATTCTTTATGAATTAATGTTGTTACTTGGGCTCAATCCCAATTCACCCCTTGGCCCTACCCCTACATTTTGCGCGTTCACGTCTAGGGGTGACTCGCGTCTAGAGTGTCCCGATTCTTGTTGAGATCGAGGGGAAGGGCGAAGGGGTAGGGCTACATAGTCCTCGAAACGCAGATTTTTCAGAGGCACACTCCAAACGGAGGGCTACGAGAAAGTTCACGGAATGCATCGCAAAACACCAGCGAGATAGATCGCAAACGGTTAAACATTTAAATTTAGCGCCAGATGATTCCACCACGCACTTTATTTACACTTTTAATAACACTTTAGTAATTTAAATTAAGAAATGGTATAATAAATTACCTTTACGATCAGAAAAGTCATACATTTCGAGGAAGGAATGTTATAATCATCATGTTTCCTCAAAGTTAAGAGCCAGTGTCAGTCGCTGTCATGGAGAAATCCTGTAAAAACTCTGTAACAGCAGAGCCATCGCCGACGACTGATGACGTATCGGGTTCATGAAGGGTTGTTCCATTTTGTTGGGGAATATTTCAACCCCTTAGCCCTTGTAACTCTGTTTTAAGGGCCAAGGGGTACACTCGAAAACAAGGGGTAGGGCCAAGGGATTGAACCTTAGAAATGTACTTTTACTTTAAGGTCACACCACATGACTACAGTCCTTAAATTTGTATTTTTATTTGAAAATATTTTTCGAAGTCATTAAAAAAAGCCAGCATAAATGCAAATTATAAATCTTTAAAGGAGTTTTCATTTTCTTTAAAGACATTGGCCCCTTAGTCTTGCGATTTGTCACGGTCCGTGAGGACAGAACGTAGCCTAGAAACAACACGGTTTCAGTTTCGATTGACCAAGCACAATTGGGTAATCCCAAAGAGCTGGACTACAAACTGAAAGCAATGAAATGAGTAAAATAAGGAAGGCCATCGTGATCAAAACCAGGGGGCATTTGGTTCCCTCGTTTGCATACGAGAAGCCGAGACAGAAGCCGATGTTAAGCTTTCCACACTTTCACTCTATCCCCCCACATCCCCTCAGTCATATGCTCGTCTGCTCCCACTTCCCCTCTTCTCTCAGAGCGGGAGGAAGGGAGGAGAGAAAGAGGCAAGCGTGAAGAACTTTGAACAGTCTGGCAGAGATCAAGAAAGTGTCGAGGCATAGCCATGAATAAGAAGGGGAGCAGGCGCGGATATGCTTATCCTCTGGGCCGAGGCCAACGCTACAGCTCAGAGGTGCCAACAAGTTCAGTTCTGCCCTGTTCAGTCATGGGGCCCGAATATTTCACAATCAGCCCCAACTCTGGATAAACATTCACAAGCATGCATAGACATGTACACAATCAAACAGCCCAACAGGATATACCGTAGGCCTGTATAGTCAGATCTCTTACCGTAGTTGCTTGGCATAATTCTGTTCAATCTCTGTTCGCTCCTTCACAAACTTCACGTATTTATCCACCAAGTCCAAGCCAGATTGTGTGTGCTTATCAAGGATGTCATATTGGTCCTGTAATACAAAATCGAGACCAGGCTCTTAAAGTCCCTGTAAAGGCAATTCTACAAAAAAGTTCTAAACACATTATAAATGTTACATATGTATTGCTAAAACATATTACAAAGTCTGTGAACTGTGAAGTACTGAAATGTGGAATCAGACCGTTAAACAGTTTTTCACCATTGCGGGGCTAAAACAGGGCTCGATGACGCACTGGAACCCATGAGCTGCTGGACACCCCCCTATTTGATGACACACAGAGTCTGATCTCCCTCTCTCCACACACACTCCCCGAACACATTCGCATTCACCGCTCAATCGCGAGTGACTGTCAGTACTATTAGTTACTACAGCTGAGCCTACAGTTTTCTAGCTAGCTATGCCTTCGACATGGACATGCATGGACTACTACCTGGATGCGATCATGTACAAAACAGATCGGTATCTTCATTTAAATTCCCTTAAAAACGATCACATCAACAACACCCGCCTCTGTAGTGATCGTTTTACACTGGATCGTTTTATAAACTTTCCTCAGAGACAACTTGGATTCACTAATAATTAGGGTTGGGTATCATTTGAATTTGAACGATTCTGATTCCGATTCCTTGTTTCGATTCCGGTTCCTAACGATTCTCGATTTCGATTCTTTTAAGAGGCAGGGTCAAAAAAAGTTTAGCTAACCTTGCTAACCAACGGTCTTTCTGAAGGAAATACTCCTTCGGTCACAAATACTTGTCACAAATTTTGCATTTTGCCGAGATTTCGTTAATTTTTAGAAAAGTGAAGCCACCCCAGACAGCAAACTGACATTGAATCAACGTGGAAACGACGTCTCTCATGACATTGAAACAACGTTGATTTTGCTTATCGAATTAACGTTGAACCAACGTCAGACGCGGCATTCTTCAAAGCTAAATGAAAATCGAAAATTGGTTTGCTTTCATAACGTTGAAACAACGCGTTGATTTCAAGTTGATTTTCCGTTAGTGAGAATGACTAGGGTGACCACCCGTCCCGCGTAGCGCGTGCGCGCACAGCGTTTGAAGCCCAATTCATGCGTCCCGCAAATTGAGACCGTGTCACGCATAATCAATGCTTGCTGAAAAAAAAAAAAATAAATAAAAGTCGGTCAGTCTATATCCTCGAGACCCAGGCAGCCAAACCTAGTGCCTGAACACGTTCACGTTCATGAACTCGTTCATATTTTGGGTGAACTGAATGTATTGTTTTACTGCCTGTCCTGATGAACGTGGGAACTCGTTCACTCTGGTGTCTGTGAATGCACGCTCTCTCAGTTAACTTCGTTCAATGGGGTGCCAGATTTCTATAGAGCCTTCCAGGTGAAAACCCGGCTAAAACTCACCGTAAACAGGGCTTAATATGTAGCGAAAAAACACCCAATCTGGCAACACAAGCCACCAGTGTCGCACCGCGGCCGCCGTCGACAAAGGCGTCGTATGATAATTTAAACGGATTTTATAACGAGGTTGGTGAAAATGGAAAAAATCTTACATTTCTGTGCAAACTTTGAACTGAACTAGTTCATTTTAAAATGTGTGAACTGAACTTTGAACTAGTTCATGTAGAAAGTGAACTTCCCCAGACTGGTTGCCACTCCCACGTGACCTGCTGACTAGGTTGATGTCAACTTTTTCATTGGTGTCATGACAGCGCAGCTTCTCGTTCCGTGAACCTCTGGAGTTGTGAGTTTAGACTTTTTTTCGACTTTTTTTAAAACTGTTCCTGTGGTGTTGAGCAACTATAATTCCCGTTAATCCTATAATTTTATATTTTTATTTATTTAAAGTGAATTAATTGTAATGAAAAATAAATAAAATTAAATAGCTAAAGTAAATCGTAAGTGGAAATGCATCTGTCAATTCATTTAATGTTCAAAATATTCATCTTTATTTAGAAAAAAAAATACACATTGGTTGGCCTATCATGAGCATATATCAGCAATTACACATGTTTAGGGAATAGGGCATTAATGTATGTAAGGTACAGTATGTGCTTTTTTTTTTTTTGAACAATTATTCATGTACAAACAGTAAGGCAATAGTAACAGTTCTAGATATGGGTAAACCACTATCAGAGTCTGCCCGTGGGGTGGGGGCACCGCCGCGCCAAGCAGTGTCCCACATTGTCCCTCAGAAACATACCCCTTGTCCCCCCTTGGGCTTATTAGCAGGTGGTCACCCTAAGAATGACGCGTCTGACGTTGGTTCAACGTTAATTCGATGAGCAAAACAATGTCAGATCAACGTTGTTTCGATGTCATATTTCCACGTTGATTCAATGTCAGTTTGCTATCGGGGACACTTTGGACCGCCGACGTAAGCTACTCATGTTCGACTCGCGGTTATGCCAACACTTCCGGTAGACGCTTCTTCGTTGGTGTTGTTCAGCGGTTTCTTCTTCCGCTCGGCGGACTGTGAATATCGAAACTATTCCGGGAAAAACTAAAAGTTAGTCTCGGTTCCAATCGATACTCGATTCTCGATACCCAACCCTACTGATAATTCACTGATAATCCACTGTTACTGGTGAACGGGCCCGAAACGACGATCTCCCGCCTCAGTGTGTTCATCCTCCCGTCTCAAGCTAACCAGCTAATATCACCGTCAACAGCTTTCCCGTGAGTGGGCGTGGTTTCAGCGCAGCCAGCGGACACCCCCCCAGCGTTTGAGAGCAGAGAATCTGCTCATTTTTTCATGATTTTGATAGCTTATTTTATGTACTTCCCGGCTTTTTTTATCATTCAAATTTGGCTGGGTGGCTAATTACACATTTTTCTGTGGTGTGACAAACTCAGAACACATACTTAATTTTGACTTTACAGGGACTTTAAATAAAAATGTCCAATATTTGTTTTTTACTTGTTTTGATTTGTCATTCCTTATTCAGGTAGCTGTTGCACCTCCCACAATGGTCACAATTTATGATATTATTACAGGGAAGCATAACACTTTCTTCATACTGATTATTTTCACCATGATGGCATACTACAGATGGAGGATTAATCATTAAAATATTGCGATCTTGATTCAAACACAAAATGACAATGATTCGGCAATGTCTATTAAACTATTCAACCAATCATACTGGGACATTCAGATCATGTCTAAATCTGAAACAGCTTTTCAACCACACAGTATCAACATTTCTGTCTTACAATACAAATATTCAAATTATCACAAAACTAAAAAGTTATAGTTCACATATAAACAACACTGATGTCTATCTATGGCAGCAATCTTTGCCCGTCCAGTCCACACAAAGACGAGTTTCACTATACGTATACATTTTTTATCGAATTGGCGTTTCATCCACACGGATCCGGCGTTTTGGGAGAGTGAAACCGCTATTTTTTGAAACCGGGTCCCAAAGTGGATAAATCTGAAAATGACACCCTTGCGGTTTTCGTGTATAGCCAATCCGTAAATTTTGTGAAACGATGATGTCATCACATCACGTGTCGGCTGCGTCAAACGCCATCTTCGTCTTTTTCTTCTTGGTTCGTATACAGCGCGCAAGGTTATTAAGTCTTCTTCTCCGTGTATAGTCTATTTCTGTGGCAGAATTACAGCGCCCCATACTGGTCTGGCATATATACTACACCGTTTTTAGTCGGTTTCAGTGGTTTCGTGTGTACGCAGATATTTCTTGAGACGACGCTGTGTTTACAGATTTTTTTTAGAACTAGGGAAAAAAATCGTATAGGGAATGCAACGGCTTCGTGTGGACGTGGCAAACTCTTCCGATAAAGATTGTATCGTTAACATAGTTACACCAGTAGGTGGCGACAAGTGACTGTTTATAAAATGTTTTGTCATTGGATTGACTCAAAAGATTTGTTCAAAAACACTGATTCATCCAGTGATGAACCAAGTTATAAGTGAGTCATTGAATCATTCATTCAATGCGATTTTTTAAAAATAATTTAAGTTAATTTAACATTTTAAATAGACAGCAGCAGCAATTAACATTTTGTCAGAACCTCTAGTAAACAACGTTAAATAAATTATGTTATTTTGATATAGCTGTTTGTTAAAAATCATGGGATCATTATTTGATACAAAAAAAACAACAACAAAAAAAAACCTTTAACCTAGGGGTCTTGACTTAATTTTAAGCCAAAAGGGTTCTATGTAAGGAAAAATGTCTTATATGATTGCATAATAATAATAATAATAATAATAATTAAAAAGTTTAATGGGTTATTTCATTTTTTTCTAGTGATGTAGTATGTTTGCGAGTGGTTTAATTCATAAAATTAATTAAAACAAAATGACCACTAAATCAGTCAAATGATCACATGATGTTTCCCATAAAAGGTTCTATATGAAGCCAACTTTTAAGGTTTTATATAGAACTTTTTCTTCTAAGAGTGTGAAAGATTAAAAAAAAATCCACAAGTAATTAACATTTTTCTCCCATCTTTTATGATAAGCAAAGCAAGCATATCAAAAAACACTCCTGGGATGTTGAAACACTGCAAAGCAGCTAATATGGAACAGAAAACACTAGAAAATAGGCCAACAACACATTCAGAGTTATAATATGGCTCTTCCAAGCTTTATAATGGGAGTGAATGGTAACTGAGATTTTGAAGCCCAATTGGCACATCAATCCATCATAAAAGTAATCCATACGACTCCAGGGGGTTAATAAATGCCTTCGAGGAGGGCCATAAGCCTGTGAAAATAGTTTATAAAGTTACGGATATGGATATTTTTCTTACAAAAATGTTTCGCTTCACTTCTGGAGCACCCTGGAGTCGTATGGATAACTTTTTGATGGATGGATGTGCTTTTATGTGCAGCAGTTGCCATTATAAAGCTTAGAATAGTCAGGATATTATTTAATATAACTCCGATTGTGTTTGGCTGAAAGAAGAAACTCATATACACCTAGGACGTCTTGAGGGTGAGTGAATTTTTAATTTATATTTTTGGATGAACTATGACTATCCCTTTAAGGATGAATCAGAAATATATTTATAAGGG